TTTGATTATTACTTTATAAAGACCAAATTTCCAAGCCAAACTCACTGCCAGCAAGTTAATGTTAATTCAAAGTGACCCCCTGTAGCAAGTTAATGCTAACTCATAGCGACCCCCTGTAGCAAGTTAATGCTAACTCATAGCGACCCCCTGTAGCAAGTTAATGCTAACTCATAGCGATCCCTTGTAGCAAGTTAATGCTAACTCATAGCGACTGTAACAGTTTAAGGGAGTAGAAATCCCAGTCTTTAAAATCCCATGTTTTATCAAGAAAAGGATATTAAAAATGGGAATATCACCCAACCTCCATCTCATTCTCTCGAAGTAAGATTTTTAAAGAATCTAGTTCATACTGCCAGATATTGTTTCTAATTTTATATATTTGAGGGTAAGAAAAATACTGTTACTACTATTGCTGCTAGTGTTATAGGTAATGCTTATTCAGTGTTATTGCAAACAGAAGGTACTTAGATAAGGTTTTGCAATTAGTGGACGTCTACAGACTATTTCTCTCAACCATACAATTTTCTAAGAGTTATTAGTGTCTTTTTAAAAAAGAATACATTTTTATTCCATGGGGGAAATTTTTGAAGTCAGGGTTCATATTAAAATTCTAACAAAATTAGCAAGTTGAAGATTTGTAACTAGTTTACAGGAATGTTATCCCACATTAAAAAAATAGCACCCATAAATAAACAAGCAAACAAGAGCAAGGGCCAAAAGATTTTAAAGCTAGAACAAGTATTTAAAGGAAGTTCAGAAAGACCTCAAAACTAAGCCACCTGCGGGAAGACCATCGTCCTCAAGGAAGGAAGAAATGGCGGCTGAGCTCAAGACACTGGTGAAATACAATGGCATAAGCACTATTGATTTAATGTCTACTGAGTTTGGTTTCTGATGTGGTTCGGCATTTTCAATTTTTTAATATCTTGGTCTCATGTATTATAAAAAACGACCTACTGAAGATCCTTTAGGATGTGTATTCATATATTGTGAGGTTAATAAATGCAAGGCATATTTTAGATATAAAACTAATGAGTAAAAAATGAAATTTATATTTTATTAAGTGGGTATTTCTTTTGCTAACAGAGCATATGCAATGGCAAAGTATATATATATTTTATCTATATTAAATATATATATATTTAATATAGATTTTTAATTATTATAAGATCTCTAGAGTACTGAAAATTCCCAAAGTCTTTATAAAAATGTGCTCTTTCTTCATGATTTTGCTATTTAGTTTATATTGTAAAATTTTCCATATTTATCTATCTAAAACCAGAATGTGTTCTATTTATGTATTCATTTTGTATTTAATCAATGAGAATATTGCTAGTGTTTTTAAGTCATTAAAAAGTAGATGATTTTTTTTCTGTGAGTTGTTTCTTTAAGCCATGCTATTTTCCCTTTGTTCTCAATTTTTGTTACTGATTAAAAAACATAGTAAGAAAGGTGATTTTTCTATTGTGACACTGAATTTCTTTAGTCAATCTTTAGACTTTTTTGTTAGTAGTCCTCTGAATGCAAACTCTTAAAACCTGCTATTGATGGTTTCTCTCTGTGTGTGAATTTTGCTTCATAGCTTTTTACTTTTTATTGTAGTGAAATTATACATACTACGGCACACATCAGATTAATAATTTCTATGTGAATGAATCAAGGCCTTCATTCCTTTTTCAAGGCCAGCCATCATCATTGTTTTTTTCCAATTACTCTACCAGCATTAACATAAACTCAATACTCATTTTCAAGTATTGCAATTTTTTAGATATAGTTTGTTGAGTAGAAGACTCTACCTTCTAAAAAAATTTAAGGGAATTTAATCATAAAAAGAATTATTGTGCTTGGGTAAGGAAGATGTCAGTCTACATAAGTGAAAACTGATGACTTAAACTAAAGTTTTCTCACACAGGTACATGTAGTTTGTGGGAAGAGATATTGTAAGGCAGCTGTTTGTTTGGTTAAGTTTTGGTTGAGGTCATAATTAGCATGGGTTGGAAGTAGGAATGTGTGTCTATTAGAAGATTGGTTATGAAGAATTACAATAATTAATTTCAGGAACCAATTCCCAAAATACAGCATTCAGGTGGAGTCATAAACCAACACTGGTGGAACCACGGTGTAAAAAGTTGAAGATCACCAGCCAATGAGACTTTCTACTTCATTAAGATGACCAAGGGTGGGCAGGGTAGGAGAGGGGTGAAAGGGAGACGATGCCCAGGAGTCCAGGAAGAAAAAAGAATGTTTGGAAACTGATTCTGGTAGCAATTGTATAATACTTCTTGATGTGATTAAACTATGGAATGATATGAGATATATTAACTTCCAATTAATAATAAATTAAAATAAAAAAAAATATTTCCAGTCTTAGAAACCCACAGGGTTGCTATGAGTAGGAATCAACTTGATAACAGTGAGTTTTCAGTTTGGAATTTCATAATTGCCTTGCCTAATGTAATAAACGTATGTTTCCAATCTCTCTGAATAATATTACAACTTTATTTAACTTACATAGCAGACTCTGATCACAAAAAAGTAAAGTATCTTAAAAATATGAAAATATATTTGTAAAATAAATAAGGCAGGTCTGGTTTGATGTGATGGACATCTGGGTTAAGTACAGATTCAGTTCCTTTACAGGTGTTTCATAGACTTGCAATTTATTTCATCAAACATTGTTTGTTTTGCATTTAGTAAGAAGTGTCTTTGAAATTAAAACCAGGCAAAGTTTAAGTATATAATTGATATTTTATACTAGCATTAACTGATCAGGAGTCTTTATTAGTTGATTAGGTGGTGTAGCAATTTGAATCTAGAGGCAACTTAGAAAAAAAGAGCTTGTGCTATACATCTGATTGATTACCGGCACTGACAATCCTAGGGAGTGCTGCGGTGAGTCATAATTGAGTCTACAGCAACTTTTTAATTTATTTATTTTTAAAGAATTGGTTATTTGGCAGTTCTGAGGTTTTGACAAGATTTTAAGAACATGGATGCCTTCAACAACAATGACTTATCACAGGCACAATTAACCTTTCACTTCTTTAAAATGAGAGACATCACTAGTGATTAAGATGACAATATTAAACCAAGTTCCCAAGGTTCAAAGATCAGTTTTACATGTGTACATCCCCAGATAGGGCAATTCACCAACGAAAATGTCTGAACTTTTTTTTTCACTAAGATGAGGATAATAGTAATGTTAACCGCATGTTATTGTTTGCAAGGGTTAAATGAATAAATAAATGTAAAAGGCATAGATGCCTTTAAAGCTGAAAAAATGAGGCTTCATTAATGTATTAATGTTAGCTCTTGATTCTGTTGTTATCTGTTACTATTAATTTGTTTGTCTTCTTCTTCAGAAGCAGTAGATATGATGGATACCACCAATGGAAGCTCACAAAGCAATTTCATCCTTTTAGGATTTTCTGATCGTCCTCATCTGGAGAAAGGCCTCTTTGTGGTGATCTTGATTGCCTACCTCCTGACTCTTGTGGGTAACACAACCATCATCCTGGTGTCTCAGCTGGACTCTCACCTTCACACTCCCATGTACTTCTTTCTGTCCCACCTCTCCTTCCTGGACCTCAGTTTCACTACCAGCTCTATACCCCAGCTCCTCTACAACCTGAATGGACATGACAAAACTATCAGCTACACTGGTTGTGTCATTCAGCTCTTTCTGTTCCTGGGTCTGGGGGGTGTCGAGTGTCTGCTCCTGGCTGTCATGGCATATGACCGGTTTGTTGCAGTCTGCAAACCTCTACACTACATGGTTATTATGCATCCTCAACTCTGTCTGGGTTTAGTGTCCCTTGCTTGGGGCTTTGGAATTGCCAACTCGTTGATCATGTCCCCAATGACACTGTGGTTACCCCGTTGTGGGTACCGCAAGGTAGATCACTTCTTGTGTGAGATGCCAGCCTTAATCCGGATGGCCTGTGTTAACACAGCTGTTGTTGAAGGCATTGCATTTATTCTAGCAGTGGGGATTGTGATTTCGCCCTTGGCCTTTATCCTGATCTCCTATGGCTACATTGTTAAATCTGTGTTAAGGATCCAGTCATCCTCCGGAAGACACAAAGTCTTCAACACCTGCGGCTCCCATCTCACGGTGGTCTCACTTTTCTATGGAAACATTATATACATGTACATGCAACCCGGAACCAGTTCCTCCAAAGACCAGGGAAAGTTTCTCACCCTGTTTTACAATATTGTCACCCCCCTACTGAACCCCCTGATCTACACTCTCAGAAACAAAGAAGTGAAAGGAGCACTAAGGAGGTTGCTACTGGGTAACAGAGGTATGGAGAAGAAGTAAGAGTTGCAAGCCATAATTGCCATCCACAGCAAGACCTATCGGTGATGCCTAGGAGTTTTGTAACTGTTGTTGGTCTATGATGTGCTTATTTTCCTATTCTTGGACCTCTAAAATAATGCCTTGGTTCTAAAATAATACATCTTGGTGTGTAAACTATACAACACATATAGTCTCACAATTCCACTTAGATGTTTAACAGCCCTCCAAAGAGAAGTCATTACAAAAGTGTGTTTCAATCCACATATGCCAGAGTGCCAAGTCAGGAACGCATTTCTTAATCTGACCTGTTCGGTTGTTATTTGTTTCTACTTCTCTCAGAGTTTTCTGAGTGCTTTTGTCTTTCACCATTATTAATCTCAGCATCAATTAACTTTCTCTTTTAGCTGCTGGCCACCAAACATAAAAAATCACCGGAGATTGGAGTTTTCTACTTTCTGCATTCTCAATTAATGACTTTCATCAAATTGCATTACATTTTCTTCCACTCGTTATCAACATCTGGAATTTTGCTATACTCTTGTCTCAGATTCTGAATAAATCAAGAAGCTAGCTTATAATATATATTGGTCACCTATATTTGAAAGCATGGTAATTTCTCAATTACATGGGTACATTTTGGCTTATTAAGGAGAAGGATCTCATTTTATTATTCTGTGATGTGCCAAATTCTTGTGATTCATCTATTTTTCTAAGCATTTGTTTCAGATCTTCGTTTTACTCACTCTTAATCTGAGGATTCGAGTTTTACTTAGGTTTTCAGTGTTAACTGGACAAAGATTTACTCTATGTTTTGACTGTTGTTTGTATGGTTTTTTGTTTGTTTTGTTTTGTTTTTACTGCTACATAATATTAAAAGAGTAAGTGTCAGTCATCTGGTTAGTAGCAAGAACATTTTGAAGTTAAGCAGTTTGTGTAATGCCTATTAATTATGTAAGACAGCCCAGAGCTTTTCTACTTCTTGTGTGCTGTAAAACTGCGTCACAGAATCCGAATAAAGAAAAGCAGCAGATGTAGATTGAGAGGAGAAGATGATCTGGACTGGGGAGATATCCAAATTCACCAAGTGACAGTGATTACTCTGGCAAACAATGCGAGGAAATTGGTGAGTGGAAATAGGAATTAAAAGTGACAAAACCATAATCTGATAAAAGACAATTGGAGATGTAAAAAGAAAAATATCCAAAAGCAGAGTACAACAATGTTAGGCAGATAAAATATATGAGAAATTACATGATTGGTTGTTGTTATTGTTGTTGTTTGTTATTGTTAAATTGTTGTTAGATGCAATAAAGTCAGCTCTGACTCATAGAGACCCTATGTATATCAGAGGGAACATTGCCCTGACCACAGTTGTTATGTTTGAGTCCACTGTTGCAGATGTACCAATACATCTCTTTCAAGGTCTTCCTGGCACGAATACTCTACCGAACACCATGCCCTTCCAAAGTGATTGGGCTCCCCTGATAACATGTTCACAGTGCTTGAGAAGAAGTCTCACCGTCGTCACTTCTAAGGGGCATTCTGGCTATTGCTGTCAAGTCAGTTTCACTTTATAATACCCTATGCAGGAATGAATACAATATTGGCTATAATGCGTCGTCCTCACTGCCCTGTCAAGCACAATACATTATTGTTTATGGTGCGTAATTGCAAGTATTACTGGTCTTCAGATAATTTTAGGATGGTCACAGGACAATGCAGGACAAGTGTTTTTGGGGAGAAGTTGGTCAATCATGCCTTTTTCTAGTATCCATTGATAAGAGGTATTGATAATGTTGTGTTTTCAGTCTCTGTATAACTGTCATATCTTGCATACATTTGCTCATAGAGGAAAATTCCTCTAGGAATATTTTATGATATTATACACCTGCCAGACCACAGAAGGGAAAAGGTCTCCTTTAGAGACCTAGTTAGGTCAGATACAAAGTTAAAAGAACCTTTTAAAAAGGTAATTTTAAAAATGCAACATGGAATCCAGACTCATGTCAAGGTTTTCAAATATAGTTAAATCTACATTTTCAAACTGCTCCATTTACATCAAATGCCTGTGATTTTGAGCTCTCATACATGTGCAAACAAATTATCTCAAAACCTTGTTAAAACACAGGATTTGATTAACTTCCTCTGCGGTGGTTTTCTACATCTCAACAACCTTCCAGTTGATGTGCTCAGATCCTAGTTTGGGAGGCAAGAAATATATGATCCAATATTTTATTGTTGTGAGTTCAAATAAATGACAGTCTCTATAACATCTTGATAATTTAGAAGAGTATTTATTTGGTCATAATAGAACTGCTAGAATCTAAGTGATTCTTTGATTTTAGAACTGAGTCCACATTTCAGTTCATCTTTAAAGACAAAAACTCATTTATGCTTTGTCTAAAACTTAAGCAAGCGTGAACGAAGCAGAAAACAAAATTAACATTATTATTTTAGGGGTAGGGAGCATTACAGGGTACAGCATTGATTATAGCATTCTAGTAACCTCAAGAAGAGCAAGCATGCATTACAAGGTACATTCTTTATCATAAAAGAGAAAAATACCAAAATTGACTATAACATCCTGGTTGCCATAACAAGATTAACTCCACCATTCAGATTACAGCATCAAAAGGAACAATATTAAAACAAACGATATATTGAAGAATAGTCAAAACGAATTTTATTGTCCAGAACCTGGGTACTTGATAGTACATTCTAAAATCAATCACTAGTGGAACTTTACAAGATGGGAGGGGGAAGGAGGCAGGTCATTCAGCAGCTGAAAAATGGGGTTTCTTTTGCTAGTCTGCCTCATTATGAGCATCTAGATGACACACATAGTCTTCAGAAAACTGAGAGAGTTTCAGTCTCTTCAACATAATAGTTCCTTCCTTTCCTCCATCGCCTGTGTCTGCCCATACTTTCTAAGCTGTCTAGCCCTGGACCTCATCTCAGCATATATTACTTCAAAGGGTCAAAACCCTTCGGTTTGGGATAAGTAAAGTTTCAGATTTAAAAACCTTACATGATGTTTTTTTTTCAGCGTCTCTGAGGCTATATCCAACCAAGTTCCTTGGTTCTCCTTGATGCTTGATGCTTATCTTGTAGCTATAAAAAAACAAAACAAACAAACAAAAACAATTTCACTGCTATCTAGTCAATTGCAGTTCATTGTGACCAAATAGGACAGAGTAGAACTGCCCCTGCAGGTGTCTGACGCTATACCCCTTTTATGGAAGTAGACAGCTTCATCTGTTTCTACTGAGGAACACCTGGCAACTTTCCTGCTGCTGACCTTGTACTTCTTAGGCCACCTTTTAACTACACCAGCAAAAGAGCTTTCGGCAGTTATAAGCACTTTCAAATACACTCTGCCTTAGGGCATAGAAAAGTAAGTACTTCCAGTGTTTCATGCGCTTGGTAAAACATTTCAATTGGTGTTCCTACTGCCTTGTATTTAACTAATGCTGCAGTGCAGCTTAAACTTCTTTTATTTCCATTGGTTCTTGCTCACATGATTACTCTTGAAACGGTAGAATGCCCACTAGTTCTATATGATACAGTGATTCTTTGTATTTTTCCATCTTCTCCCGTTCTCCTCCTTTCTTGATACACCTTTATTTTGCTCAGGCTACAGTGATAAGAGATCCACATTTGTGTCCATTCCAAAGAAAGCAGACCTAACAGAATGCTTATCAGGTAAAATTTTGATTAAGATTATCTAATAACAACAGTTGCAGCCACCAAGAGTTCAGGCTAGATTCAGAAGAGGACATGGAACAAGTGATATCATTGCTGATGGACCATAACTCAAAACAGAAACTACCTGAAAGATGCTGGTTTTTCATTAACTATGCAAAAGACCATAGATAAGCTGCAGATAAGCTTGAGAAGAAAAGGGATTACAGGACACTTATTGTGCTCATGAGGAACTTGCACATAGATCAAGAGGTAGTTGTGCAAATAGAAGAAGGGAATACTGCATGATTTAAAATCAGGAAAGGTGTGCACCAAGGTTGTATCCTTTCACCACACTTGTTTAATCTATATGCAGAGAAAGTCATCAGAGAAACTACATTATATGAAGAAGAATGCAGCACAGGGATTGGAGAAAGGCTTACTAACAACCTATATCATGCAGATGACACAACTTTGATTGCTGGAAGTGGAGAGGACTTGAAGCACTTGATGAAGATAAAGGTTTGTAGCCTTCAGTGTGGAATACCAGTCCATGTAAGGAAGATCAAAATCCTCCAAACTAGACCAATATAAAGATAAAAGAGATAAAAGGTTAAAGTTGTCAAGGATGTTGTCTTGTTTGGATACATAAGCAATGTTCATGGAAGCAGCAGTCAAGTCCCAAAAAACATATTGCATTAGGTAAATCTGCTACACAAGACCTCTTTAGAGTATTGAAGGACATGGATGTTACTTTGAGAACTAAGATGTACCTGACTCCAGCGACAGTATTCTCCATTGCATCATATGCATGCGAAAATTGAACATTGAATAAGAAAGGATGTAGAAGTACTGATGTATTTGATTGTGGCTCTGGAGAAGAATATTGAAAGTACTTTGACTCCTAAAAGAACTAACCAATCGATAACGGAAGAAGTAAGACCAGAATGCTCCTTAGAGGCAAGGATGGCAAGGCTTTGTCTTACATACTTTTATATGTTGTCCAGGGACACCAGTCCCTGGAGAAGGACATTGTTTTGGTAAAGTGGGAGGGCAGCAAAGAAGAGGGAGGCCCTCAACCAGATGGATTGACCCAGTGGCTTCATCAATGCGCTCAGGTCATTGAGCGCCTGTGATCATGGCACGAACCATGCAGTGGTTTGTTCTGTTGTGCATAGGGTTGCAATGAGTCAGAGCCGACTCAATGGCACCTAATGGCAACAGAATGATAAATCTTCCATGCATGTTGTTCTTCCTCAACCAATTAAATGGAACAAAACAAAATGATGAATAAACAACAATGAAGGTATCAATATGGCTTTTTGTTTTAGGTATCTTTA